CCGCCCCCTCCTTTGAACCACCCCCACACCCCAGCTCAGGAAGAACACCTCGCCTCCTTTGGCCACCCATGGCACAGGTCCTTCACCTTCTGCCATCGATTGGCCATTAAGCCACTTGACAGCCATTTCCTTCTGATTTACAAGGCACTGGCTGAAAGACAAAGGCCGCAGGACAGTTTGGCAATCCTGCAGACCGTTAATTGCGGACAATTAGCACACGTGCTGCTCCCTGGGAGTGCGTGAGCTCGGTGTGCGTGCCTGGGTGCGCCTCAGCACGTGCGTTATTGTGGGGCCCTGGGGCTCGTCGGCTTTTCGTGATTGAGCCACTTCCAGTAGGCCGGGCATGTCTGAATGCTCAAGGCTCTTTGATGGTACTTTGGAACCACTGAGTCCCAGGGCTTCTCAGTGAGTCAGTGCTGGGCCACCGATATTCTATGGAGCACCCATGAGACTAGACTAGGTGCCAGGATGTAGAGATTAATGAGACTGGGTTCCTGCCCACTCCCCACCACACCCTGTCCCCAACAGAGAAAGCAGATCACACACACACACACGAGTATATTAATAAAAGAGGCTTTTAAAAACTATGAGTACTATGAAGAAGGGTTGCTTGGCCCACCCAGAGTCAGAAGTGCTGTGCATGCCTCTTGAGGGGCTTTATGGTTCGGGAGTGTGGTTAGGGCTTTGTACACCCACTACCACCTTTTAATTTAACACACCCTTCTGTGGGGTGCAGGAGACAGAAGCGAGCAAGCAGGGCAGCCCGCCCTCCTCAGGCTCCTCAGAGCTGTCCTTTGCCTCCAGCTTCCCCAGCAGAGCAGCAGGCTGAGCGTGGGACCTGTCACAGTGATGTGAGCAGGGCCCTAGAGGAGTGCCTGGGTCCTAGCCCTCCCTGCCCAGCCCAGATATGCTGGCGGAGGCAGCTGCTGCGGAGGCCGGGCGCTGGCACTGGCGGAGCGGTCCGCTCAGCTCTCCAAGCAGACAACGTGGAGCACCTGCTGCCTGCCAGCCCGGGCCGGGAAAGTGGAAGAGCTGCCCTCTGACCTGACATGGCCAAGGAGAAGCTCACTGCCCTTTCTCTTGGTTTTAGGAGCCATGCCGTGTAGGGAGCCGTTTGTGGCCCCTCTGCCTGCACCAGGGTGGAAATGCCTTTCTCTGGTTTATTGGGACCAGCCCTGGCTCGCTCGCAGCACCTCGGAGCCAGGCTGGGTCTAGCAAGTCTCTAGCGTTCCCGCAGCCCCATGGGGCGCACATTAGGTAGGAAATCTGTGCAGACAGGAGACTGCTGGCTGCTCCCTGCCAACAGGAGCAGCAACCCACTGACACCTTTCCAACACAATCCTGAGAGCTAACAAACACTTATGGAGCACTTACTGTGTGCCAGAGGCTCCTCTAAGCGCTTAACACACATTAACGTGTTTAATTCTCCCAACAAGCCTGTGAAACGGACACCATCATTGTGCCCGTTTTATAGACTGGGAAACTGAGGCACAAAGAGGTTGACTGGCTTGCCCATGGAAGGACACAGAGGGGGTTTTGAGGCAGAGCCTTCTCTTGCTGTAGAAACAGCTCCGGTGTCCCCTGGGCTCCAGTGAGTCCCAGAAAGACTTCGGGAGCGGGGCAGGCAGCAGCCCAGGGAGCAGGGCGGTGGGGACTGAGCTCTGGTGGGGGGCGCAGACCAAGCCCACCTCTCAGGAGGGCCCTAGGCAGCCACCCTCCCCTCCGCAGGCTCAGGCTCTGGGATGCCCGTGTACCGCTGCTCCAGCCAGACCTGCCCTCTTTGCTGGGTGGAGCCCCTGCCCAGACCCCCTTCACCCTCTCCAGCCTGGGAAGCTGGCTAAGCCATTGCGAAGAGCCTGGGGCTGCCTCCCTGCCCTGTCCCCAGTGTGTCCCCCCTCCAGGCTTGCCTCAGGCCAGGCCCTCTGAGCCACCATTTTCCCCGAGGCCAGGGGAATGCACAGCGGTGTCCAGGCCGCAGCTGGCTTTAGAATCCCCCCTCTTGCCCCGGCAGAGGCAATTCTGCTGATTTCTCACCTCGTCTAAGGAGGGCAGGAACTGTGTCCCAGGCTTTGCCCACGCCCAAGGGAGTTCCACACCTTCTTCTTCTCCAAGGCCCCAAAGCCTTATCTCCCCTGCCGGGACCTGCTGCAGGTTTTTCAGCTCAAGACTGAATATTGTTAGGGAACAAAGCAGCGGGCTTGGGCCCAGAGGTGCTTGCCTGGTGATATTCTCTAGGATCCTGATTCTGATGTCCAGTGTCCCTCTCGTACATTGATGATAAACTTAGAATCTCCCTTCAGTGGCCTCATAGTGCGGGCAACACGGGATCTCACTGTAGGAACATGCACCTCCACTTTTTCCAGAAATGCAAACTCACTGAGTCAGAAATCAAGCCCACCAAGCCAAGTCGGAGCTGCGTGAGGCCCCCGGGAAAGGCGTGGGTGACATGAGAGGAGAGATGAAGGGGACAGAGGGGGAAAGGCCCAGGGGCAGAGGTTCACTCAGACTCTGTCATTTCCATGAGCCCATCACCAAACAGGCAATTCTTCTGAGCCCTGCAAACCTGGGGTTCCAGAAAACATCTGTGAGCATCTAGCCACATAAATTGGGGTTCTCAGACTCCAGGACATGGGATGTGCTGGATTAAAGCAAAATGAGACGGGCTCCTTGGAGGCCTCTGAGAACTTCTCCAGGACAAGGGGGAAGAGGCGTTCCTAAGTTGATCGAACACAGCCCCTTTGGGGGGATGCCTGCTGGGGATGCTGATTTAACAGAAAGACAGCTGGACCAGGACTTGGTAGTAGTGGGTACTGGTCCAGGCCCCACCGTAAACCAGCTTGGGACCTTGGGCAAGTCACAGCTCTCCCTAAGCCTCAGTTTCCCCATGAAATGAAACTCAACTCTAAGCCTTGCTTCTTCCGGGGACCATTGTGAAAGGGAATGAGAGCCCCTGTGGCTGAGAGTGCTTTGAACAAAGCGTGGCCACCATGGGAGGAAGTGTTGGTTAGCATCTCACTTTCTAGAAGAAGCCACAGTGGCCGGGCCTGACGCCCAGTCTAAGTGCACTTGGGTTTCTTCATGTGTTTTGTGAGCTGATTGTGCTATAAGAGAAAAGAAAGAGTGTATGGATTTGATCTCGGGGTGCTGTCTGAGCAGGCCTGATAACCCCACCCCACGATGACCACCTCCCAGCTCCTCTCCCTGGACTGATCCTTGAGGCTTTACCCCACAGGCATCACACCAGTCCCCTTCTTACCCTAGGTGTGGGGGGGTTCTGGGGACATTTGAGAAGGCGGCTCCAGTCACTGCCTGGGCTCTTGAAGATGACCATAAACATTCCATTTAGCCAGCTCAACGGGCCAGTTCAGACCCCGTCCCGGCGTTACTGGGGACACAGGTGTCTGAGCTACAGCCCTGTGGGCCTCAGATCCACCCGAGGCAGCAGTGCTGTAGCCTGGGGTTGGGCTACACAGCACGTATGGCCTAGATCAGGAGCTGTCGCCACTCAGGCCTAAGGGCTGGGGGCCAGAGCCCTCCTGAGCCACTCAAGAGAGGAGATGAGAATTGAACCAGAAAGTACTACTGTAAATCCAGAACCTCAGCGAGGGAGCAAGAGCCTTCTCAAAGTCCCCGCCCCCAAGCCAGCAGCCCAAGGACACTAACCCAGAACAGAGCCTGTGAGCTAAGGGAGGGCGCGGCACCCGCAGGCATCGATGACTAACGCGTGTCCCCCACCAGGAAACCCCTGAGGAAGGAGGAGAACGGCGCGAGCGTGGCCGAGTACCCCATGACGTCGTGTCGGAGCAGCAAGGGCGCAGACGTGAACAGCGCCGTGGTGTGAGTGCAGCCCAGGACCCGCTGGCTTGCTGAGGGGCACCTTGGTGGCACTGGTGGACATGAGCTGACACTGCACTTGTCCTGGACTTCATTGCCTTGCCAGCCTCGAGCCCCTCAAAGGAGAGCGCGTTCTCCCAGCCGTGCGCCCCGTGGGGCAGCGCAGCCCGGGCCCAGCGGAGCTCGCCTGCATGCGGCCCCCGGGGGCGCCACCACCCGAGGCTCCCTGCATCTCGTCCTGTGCTCCACCCGCCCTGTCTCCCAGCTACTGTCTAAAGCACACGCTCTGTCGAAGGCAGAGGGTCTGTCTGCTGAGTGGAGGGAGGCGGCCCCCTTTAGCCAAAAGAAAGGCAATCCAGGGGCCACTCCCCTGCCAGAAAACCTCTCCTCGCCCCCAGGAAGCCTGCCTTCTGCTCTGTTGACTGTACCCTTCCCAACAGAAGCCATCGGCACAGCCATGAGACGTCCCCTTTCTAAGGTGCTTCCCACACAGCTGTCTGTCGCCCCATCTGCTACCTGCCTTCTCCCTCTTGTCCCCATTGACACCCTGGGCCCCTGGATCCTGCCTGACTCCCGACTCCCTGCCATGGAGGGCTGGGAGCCCAGCCTGAAAGTCCCCTCCTGACTGAGCACACCAAGGGGGCTCCTTTACACCCCGGGGTAGCAGCTGGCCTTCCAGAGGCAAAAGGACTCACTGAGCCCTAGGCCAAGGGCCTGGGAAGGACAGAAGCCATGACGCCTGTTCTCAGAAGCATCCTCACACCTGACCCTCATCAGAACTGCCACATCTGTGTGAGCCAGGCCCTGCCTTCATCGGGCAGAGGCCACACTGTGCCAAACCCACCGCGGGCACTCTGGGCTGGGCTGGGACAGCCCGGCCTGGCGCTGGGTCTCCCTGACACTCCCCTGTAGCCCCGATCAGGGACTCAGACCTTCTCCTGAGAACCCCTGGCCCTCCCCTCACCCAGGAGGAGCTGAGTTCCTCCAGTGGCTCCCTTGAATGTCTCTTTCAGAGGTCTTAGGTTCTAAAAGTGCCGAGCACTCCACAGTAGTTGGTGGTTGAAGGGGAGGGAAAGGGATGACAGGTGAGGGACCCTCCAGGCCTGTTGCCCAGGAGACCACCCACCACTCTTGGGCACATCACTAGGCCCATGGCGACAGCGGCCTTGTGGGTTTGCACCCCCTGGTGGATCGGGAGAATGCTCCTGACCCTGTGGTTCCCTTACCACCCACACACTTGCTAGGAAGAAACCAGACAACAAGTGGTTCCACTCTCCAGCCAGATAGGAGCGTAGGCAGGGCACAGTGCCGCCTGTGGCCTCCATTCTTGCCCCCAGCCTGGTGAGCGCTTCCCTTAGCATGGCACAGTGCTGCCTGTGGCCTCCATTCTTGCCCCCAGTCTGATGAGTGCTTCCCAGCTCTCCTGCTTGACACCACTTCCCCAGGATGCATAGCTGGGTGACAAACAGGCCAGAGGATGTGGGTCCTCAGCAGGACAGACCCCTCCACACTGGCAGGTGGCTGGGCAGGACCCCAGCCCTAAGTACAGGCCACCTTGAGCTCAGAAGTGATGGGAGGGCCCCTTTGGCCAGAGGGGGGCATTCTGGCTAAGGGGTCGTGGGGAGCTGGGCAGCCAGCCTGGAGGGGCATCAAGGGGGGCAGGCAATACCCACCTTTTCACAAACCCACTGGTCGCACCTTCCCTGACCTTGGCTTAAACCTAAGAGGCCCAGATTTTGCAATTAGACTAATCTGCCAACATCTTACCCTAGGGGCACAGCCAGGGCTCTGAAAAGCTAACCTTGGAGAGTAAATCCTCTCAAATTGGGTTTGTAACATCTCTTCTCACCCAAAAGAAGAGCTTTTTTTAAAAAAAGGATTTGCTTGAGAACCCCCCAAACCAAGAGCCAGCCATTCAGAGACAGCTCTCCTGGGTGCAGGGAGAGCCCCACCAGATTTTTAGCTTAGGTGACAGAAGCGTCCACCAAACCGCAACAGCCAGGTACTGAGCTTAGAATTTCTACATAAGGAACGTATCTGCGGCCCCTAAACAGACCAGTCCTCAGCCTCACCTGAACTTGAGGCTGGAAATGAAATGCACATTCCTCTCTGCATTTTCTCACACAGCTGTTTTTCAGCGTGTCTCCTGGTGGAGCCCAACCTTAGAATGGCATATAGGATTTCCCAGTTTTCAGGCGTTAACTTAGGAGCTTCTAAAGCGAGTTTTGGAAGAAAGACTAATAGCTGTAAAAATATAAACATATATTATATATAGTTATATATATTTAAAGAGATATCAATCTATATACAAAATTACTGTACTCCGACTCCGTGCAAAGTGACTTTCGCAGCCCAGGCAGTGCGTGGTTCCTACTGCATGGACTTAAATACTTGTGACCTGCCTCCCTGGCAGCACCGAGCGCACACGGAAGCCGGCTCCTCTCCAGCCCTGTCTCCATGGACATCTCGGTGCCGATCTGTCCACTGAGGAGCCAGTGACATCGATTTTGTGCTGAGACTTTGCACACAAAGCAGGACCAGGCAGTGTTGGGGGGAACGTTGTATGCTACTTCCGAGGAAGAAAGCACCATGCCTTTTTTATTTTCAATAAAAATATACTTATGAAGATGGCTGCAGTTGTTGGGTGTGGCAGGGGCTCGGCCCTGGGCGGGGTGGGAAAGAGCCAACAGGCCGAGGGCGGGTGTGATCTCCCCAGAGCACCCGCTGGGAACTCAGGGCTGGGCTGGGTGTTGCTTGCCTCGCTTTTGTATGCTTTCTATCTAATACCCCAAAGCCGGCATTTATGGGGATTCTTCGGTTCCAGTCCAGCCCCTCATCCCCCCACAAAGCCACCTTGATCCTTGACTCAACTGAGAAGAGGGTGACCAACCATCCCAGTTTGCCTGGGACTGGGAGGTTTTCCCAAAATGTGGGATTTTCAGGGTTAAAACTGGAAAAGAGCCAGTCACCTAAATTTGACAAGTGCTCACAGGAATCATGGGGGCAAGAATAAGCGGGCCACGCCGGAGCCAGAGGGGAGGCCAGGTAGGCCCGCGCCCAGGCTCGGGCCTCCTGCTGTGCCCATCCCGTCTAGACCTCATGGGGCCCTCAGTGGGCCTGCAGCACCCCTCACCTGACCAGCCGCTTGGAGCATCGTGCTGTGTGGCCCGCGGGCACCCGCAGCAGAGGGAACCCAAAGGGCTCGCTGCTCCCTGGGAGTGGATGAGCCTCCTCCTGGGGCCCCCGCTCCCCTCCCAGCCCGTCAGCACCACCGCCCTTCCCAGCGCTTCCTGCCTGATGGGCCGGGAGGAATGGACGAGAAAACTGGCTACAGAACCATCGTCCCCCCCCGCCCCCCGGGAAGTGAAGACACATCAGAAGTGGAGTGGGACGGCCACAGTCACACGGGTATCAGGAAATGCGCGCGGCTGGGGTTCGAACCAGACTTGGGTGTCTTTAGCACCCAGCCACTGAGCGAGACCCCAGCCCAGACTATCTCCCCACGGTGGGTGCTGCTGGACCCTGTCACCCCCACCGAGATTCCACATGGCTTCAGTTAGATCGGTGGGGGCTACTGGGAGGACCCTACGCACCCAGAGCGGGGGCCCGTGCACCCGCACTGCACGAGGGCCCCTGAGCAGCCCTCTGCTTCCGCCCCTGCGGCCCCACGGCCCTTCCCGCAAAAGCCAGGGGGCTGTTGACAAACCGAGAGTCAGATCGGACCTGAGTCAAACACCTGCCCAGCACTGAAAATAAAACCACAGGCCTTACCCTGCTCACAGGCCCTTCCTGCC